GGAGGAGGAGGAGGAGGAGGAGGAAAAGAAGGAGGAGGAGAAAGAGGAGGAGGAGAAGGAAAAGAAGGAGAAGGAGGAAGAGGAGAAGGAGGAGGAGGAAGAGGAGGAGAAGGAGAAGGAGAAGAAGGAGGAGACAGAGAAGGAGGAGAAGGAGAAGAAGGAGAAGGAGGAGGAGGAGAAAAAGAAGAAGGAGAGCTAACCTGTGGTGGCTTCAGAAGAAATGGGACCAATACGTTTTGGACCAGAAATTCCATAAAGGTTGAACTTGTACTTGTGGAATGGAGCCAGATTCAAAACGGTGACTTCGTGCGAATCTCCCTCTACAGTCAGTGTTTGGGTTCTGCCCTCCTCATCTTTATATTGGAGCAGGAAGGAGTCAAAGCTCCCCGTGGAGATGGTCCAAGAGAGACGGACAGAGTTGCTGGTGGCCTCAGAGATGGAAAGTTCTCCTAAAGATGGCTTTGGTGTAGCTTCTGTCTTTGTGGTGGACGCTGGGAGCAGAAAGGGGAAACAGGAATGAAAATAGTGTCTGATGAGTAATATGAATCAAAGCCAGCTGGGTGACCTTTGGCCAGTCCACGCAACATTTCTGAAATCTTGCCAAGAGGACTGCAGGGACTTCGATGCTGTTGCTAGGAGTCAATGCTGACTCAAAGGCAGAAATTACCCATATTCATTGTGCATCTACATTTATCCCTTCTGTTGTTTGCCCTTCTCCACCTTCTCCTTCAGTGGTAGTATTCAGCCGGTTCGTACTGAACCAGTAGCAGTGACCTGCGGGTGGGCCTGCCCACGGCTATTCACCCGCCCCGGTGCTATGCTGACCTATTTAGCCACGTTTTCTAAGCCATGCACATGTTTGCAAGTCACGTGTGTGAGCAAAGCGCATGTGCAGAAGTCACGCAAGCAAGCAAAGCTGGCATGCTCACATGTGCTCATATTTTCGGTGCACAGAGAACCAGTGGTAAGATTATGTGAAACCTACCTCTGTTCTCTTTCCCTTCCCCTTCTCCCTTCCCTTCCAACTATAGGATGCCCCAATCTGAACAACTTTGGACAGCGTACATGAGCAATACAAAGAATTAATATCTTCTGTGTTATAACAAAGCACACTCACTATAGTTGTAAGAGAAAGCAATCCCTAAGAGTAAAAAAGCAGATGTGCCCCAGAAACACATCCAAAGACATGAGTGGTATAATAAAATTTGGAGTATGGCAACGAATGATAAATTAACAACAGAAATTAAACTTTAAAAAGGGATGATTAAAGTAAATAATTATAATGCAATATGGGGGGAATTTATAAAATCAGTGTTGGTGGAAGGCAAAGGGAATAAAACTACTCAAGAATATATGTTGTTTTGGATATAGTTAGATATTGGGGGTTTGCAGCCAAAACAATAAAGTTTTCCTGTGGGAACCAAGGTCATTCGCATAGGTGGCTGGCCAGACGAGGAGACAGTAACCCCAGCGACTGGCCAGCACTCGGATTGGACAACGTGACCAGTGACTGGGGTGAGAAAAGGAAAACTTTTACTTCCATTCAGGTGAAAGCCGCGGGAAAACTCAGAGTCGGCTTTCACCAGTTTTGTTGTGGCCCAGCAGGAGCCGTTGGAGCTGCCACCAGACTCCGACAGCGAGGGGCCCTATGAGTCGTCCACCCTTTGGAAATATTTTGTTTCAGTTCCTGCAGTGAAGTGATGCCTA